GAATGGCCGCATTGAACATTGAGCGGAAAAATGGCCAATCAGAGTGTCAAAACGTCAAATAACAGATTTTTTCTGTCATGACAGGTTTTCCCCAGGAAATTGCGTCATTGGAATTCTCAGAATATTATATATAATTATTTATTATATATTGTAAAATAATTTTTATTAATTAATAATAATTGTTATTTTATATTTATATTAATATATATATATAATATTTAATTAAAATATAATATATTTAAATAATGCATATATTTTATTTATATATATATTATAATTATAACATATATTTTAAAAATAAAAATATATATAAAAAATATTTTAAAAAAAAATATAATAAAATATTGCTATAATTTAAAATCAAAGGTTCCGATTCATAATCCGGATTTATATATAATTTATACCCTATAATTTATACCCTATAATTTATACCCATAATTTATACCTATAATTTATATTTATGTTCCATACCAATAATCCATATTTACAATCTATATCCTTTTAAGAAATATGATCTATACTTATAATCTATATCCATAATCTATATCTCAATAATTACAAATCCTGAACATATATTGATTTTATTTCTAAATTATACCTATGGAATGGGGGGATTACCTTAATTTAGATAAAATACAAATATTTAACAAGAAAAAAAAGAACAAATACAAATCAAGAACAAAAATAAGAACAATATCTTCCAATCAAATACTACTACAACCATTACTACTGCTACTCCTACTCCTACTGCTACTATTATTATTACTACTAATTTTATTGTTGTATTGCTGCTATTACTACTACTAGTCAAAGCATTGTTATCTCTACTACTAGCACCATGTCAGGAATAATGATAATATATAACAAATTTGAAATAGGTCTGAAACAGGTCTAAAACAGGGCTGAAATAGGTCTGAAATAGGTCTGAACGTTTAAGTTCTGTGCCTTTCCCCTTTTATAATATATTTTCCGATTCGATTCCAGTAAACTATATTGCTATCTTGAAAAAAAAAATAATAAATATGATTTCTGTACCTATTTTTCTATATTGTTTCATGTCCCAGACCGCATTGGCTGCAATTAGATCACCTTTTGGATTCTAAGTTTTCCGGACCGCAATGGCTATAATTAAAGTGTGTTTTAGATGCTTACATTTCCGGACCGGTATATATTTTCAGATATCAA